GTATCGAGTCCTTGAAATGAGGTGTCATAAAGCAGTTGAAGACCTCTTGATCCAAGGATTGCCTCCCATTTCTCACGCACTGTATGATCCTTACGGATTAAGCGTTTGCACGTCAGTTTAGCAGTATAACGAGCACAGTGTTAGTTGCCAATGGTAGCATACATCAGGACATTGTTAGTGGCTACCAGTAGCAAGCATCCAGATATTGTAAGTGACTACTGGAAGTACAAAGTACATTGTTACTTGAAAGGGGAAGTACAAATGCTACCATTCTTCCTTGCAAGTTCATATAACATTCATATAATGGAAAATAACTAAGAGGAAACGATGCTGGTGGTGATAATTTTCAAACTCCAAACAAGAATTGTTATTAGAGAAATTGGTAATAATGTTAGGACATTTTTTTAACCACATCTGATGTTGCTCCCAGAGAAGCGCGCCATTTTTTACTTCACGTAATGCTCAATGCATGAATATTGTGCCTGATAAGTGATCCTTGTTATTGCGGGGCATTCTAATGGCCAAAAATTATTTGCGCCTTCCTTTAGTTCAAAATAATCAGGAAAACATGAAAATGGAACCTCGGCTGTGATACGAAGAGGCGGATGACTTTCATTTGAGTGACTCGGTAATTCCTGGTTCTTAAGAGGAATTCGTGCCCACTGCCTTGACGTCACTAGGCTGTGTGAAACTGATCTCTCAGTTCAAGGTTCAGTAAAGCAACAGAAGTGCTACACTATCTCCCAGTCTATTTTGTTCAGTTGCAAGACGAGATCATCAACTGGAGCTAAAAGTCGACACTTAAGTGGACTGTTACAAATTTATCATTGGTTGTAACCTAAATATACAGACCAGAACTAGAAAGCAACATACGCAGCTCCTAAATTTGGGTCTCAGTGAAAGCTCTGACAGACATCTTCAGATTGTAAAACTGCGGGATTTACGTGTCCCCTCCAGTTACCTCATAAACTCTTTACAGTCAGTTCTCTGCACAATCTTGACCACAGTCCATCCAGCACCACTGCCAAGGATTCCTTTTACCGACTAGAAATCAGTCTTTTTGTTTGTGACCTATTTCAGCATGGGCATCTGCTGAGGTCGAATAACCTCTGCATCATCTAGAATAAACAAGGATCAAAAGTTTCCTGAATTTTTCAATACCATACCAGCTGCTGTACTCAGGAAAAGAAAACCCTTAGCTGTACCCGAGTCTTTGAGTACGTAAAAGCCTGATCCCCTCCGCCCCCCCCCCAAAAAAAAATGCCATCGGTGGGGATAGAACTCGCGATCAGAGAGCCATACAACTCCAGACCGACGCGTTAGCCCGTGATATAGCTTGTTTGCAATCGTGTCATTACGATTTCGTGAGTCCTGATCTGAAAGAAGTATCACCCTCCGGTGCTTCCCAACAAGATGCATAAGATGTGCTGCAGGTGCCCCTCGTTCAACTAACTGACGAGGCTGGACTCTTAACAAGGGCAGAAAATGTTGGCGTCATGTATGGACCACACTCCCCATGGCATCAGAAGTAGGCAATGAACCGGTTTAAGAGTGACTGCAAGAGTACGAAGCACTCTGATTGAAAATATACCTGAGAGAAGGCTCATTTGAGGTACATATAACACTGAAGCTGTTAGCCTTAGTTATAAACATCAGAGAACCATCTACAAGAACGTGTGGGTCCTGCAACCACATTTCCTGAGAGTATAACAGTGAGTAGTCATGACGCTTTTGCGACATTTGGGAAGCTTTATTGTGGAAACGTTACGCCAACAGGTGGCTTCCTCAGTCCGGTACAGACATGAATGATGGAAACTGAGAAAGAGTTAGTGGTAATCAGTCCCTCAGCCTTGAGTCGACGTGTTCAGTCCATCAATCTTTTCTCAAGATTGATGGACTCCTTAGTCATTTCTCTGCCCTCCCTCCCTCACTTCCCTGGTGGGCGAAACGTCTTGGTTCAGCCACATTTGGATTTTATGAAGTAGAATAAAGATTTTTCCATCCTTAGTGCCTCTGAATCCCCACTGGTCGACTTGTGCCATTCTCTGCCGTTAATATTTAATCGCTCTCCAGCGTTTATAAAAACCTTAGTAAGGCCTTCAAAATAAATGAGGCAGAGGATAATAAAGTTTCAAGATTCAAAATAAAAGGCAGAGAGCTGAAGAATGGTAAAAATAATGGTTGCTATTTAAAAAAAATTAATAAATTCTGAAAAAATATCTTAATGAGAATTCTGTATATATGTATTAATTATAGTCTGTATAGAAGTAAATAAAGGTAATATATAATTGTACTTATTGGTTGTACTTATCCTGTGCTAATTAAACAATTACTAATATCATTGCTTATTTTGCTAATGATCGTTATCTGCTGCAATAATTATCATTAAGTTTCTCGTTAAATATCAGTGCCCGTAACTAATTATAATTAGTGTAGCAAATAACGAAAGAAGCGGTAATTAGTGTAGTAGGTAATTGTTAACGCAGAAGACACAGATAATTCAGAAAATGTTATTGTGATAATTGTTATTAAATTATTATGTGGTTTTTGTGTGGGTGAGGGTTAATGAGGGAATGGGTGAGGGGTTAATGAGTGATGGTGGTTATGAGTGATGATGGTGAGGGTTAATGAGGGATGGGTGGAGGTTAGTTGGGATGGGTGAGGTTAGTGTGGGATGGGTGAGGGGTTAGTGAGTGATGGGTGAGAGGTTAGTGTGGGATGGGTGAGGGGTTAGTGAGTGATGGGTGAGAGGTTAGTGTGGGATGGGTGAGGGGTTAGTGAGTGATGGGTGAGAGTTAGTGAGGGATGGGTGAGGTGTTAGTGAGGGATGGGTGAGGGGTTAGTGAGGGATAGGTGAGAGAGAGGTGAGTGATGGATGAGGCATATTGAGAGGTTCTTGATATAAGGAACTAGTGCTACTGAAGGATTTTTGATCCAGAATATTAGAGCTACCGCTCCCTTTCCCAAGGATCACACTTTATTACCTCAAATTAGGAAGAGTCCTTACGGGTTTAGCACTTTCCCCACGAATATAATAATCCACGAGAGACGTGTTGAACGACCAACACAGACAAAAGTATTATAATTATTATTAATGACAGTGTTTATATTGTCCCCTGGAAATTCTCATCAAGGCTTCAATAATGTGTTTTTTGAGGTTTTTCATTATAAGTTTGGTCATAACTGTTTCAAAGCTCAGAAATTACCCAAAGAATTCTTTCTTATCAAAGGAATTCATTACAAAACTTTCACCTGTGGAGAAAATTTTAGTAGAAATTTGATGTATTTGAGATTTTCAAAGAACTGAGAGCGAAGTTGTTTAAATACTTTCATAGGAAGAAGTCCTAATTATATATATATATATATATATATATATATATATATATATATATATATATATATATATATATATATATGTCGTGCCGAATATGTAAAACCGGTCAATTAGCAAGAACTCATTTAAAATTAAGTCCTTTCTAAAATTTTCTCTTATACCTTTAAAGATATATTTTTTAATTAATGTTAAATTAATGTAAAAAATTTTAATTTTGCACCAAAAGAATCTTAGAAAACTTACCTATCCTAATTATAACAAGAGCAATTTAGTTTAGCCTAACCCAACTAAATATATTTTAAATATATTTACAATAATTTAGTACTAAACAAGCACAATCAAATATATTTTTTTCGTTAGGTTCAGAATGATTTTGGCGAAATTATTGCCTACACAAATTTTCATTTGTCCTATATGGCAAGATGAGCGTTGCTATTTAAGCCAAGATCGCAAGTTCTGCGTATTCGGCACGACATAAATATATATATATATATATATATATATATATATATATATATATATATATATATATATATATATATATATATATATATATATATACAATAAAATCACAATAAACAGGTGATTTCAGAATATGCAAAACAACCACTGTGAAAATTAGAGAAATTCCAAGCGCTTTCGTGACTACTTGCATTATCAAGGAACAATGAAAGTAATGCATCAAAGGCATATAAAGGGTCTAGCCCACACTTCACTATCACATTCCACAACAAAGCAACACCTGACGCGCGACTCATAAGAAAGGGAACACTGCAACAGGCCCGCTGGCCCAACTAGACAGGTCCTTCACACAACCAACCAACAAACTAGTCTTCCCAAGAATTAAGAATTTTAAAATTTATTATTTGTCCAATGTATTATTAAATTAGATCCATTTATAATTAATAGAATTTGGGAAGAATTTAATAATACATTAGACAAATAATAAATTTTAAAATTCTTAATTCTTGGGTAGACTAGTTTGTTGGTGAGTTGTGTGAAGGACCTGTCTAGTTGGGCCAGCGGGCCTGCCGCAGTGTTCCCTTTCTTATGAGTCGCGCGTCAGGTATTGCTTTGTTGTGGAATGTGATAGTGAGGTGTGGGCTAGACCCTTTATATGCCTTCCTTTGATGCATTACTTTCATTGTTCCTTGATAATGTGAGTAGTCACGAAAGCGCTTGGAATTTCTCTAATTTTCACAGTGGTTGTTTTGCATATTCTGAAATCACCTGTTTATTGTGATCTTATTGCATATATATATATATATATATATATTATATATATATATATATATATATATATATATATATAATATATATGTATATATATATATATATAATATATATATATATATATATATAATATATATATAGTGTGTGTGTGTGTGTAATAGGATCACAGTAAACAAGTGATATCACAATATGCAAAACAATCAGTGTGAAGAAATAGTGTACCTCCAAACGCTCTCGAGATTTCTCACACTGAAATTGTGAGAAATCATGAAAGCTCTTGAAGTTTATTATTTTCCACAGTGGCTATTTGCGCTTATAACCACTGCAGATATTGGGAGCTTGACTCAGTTGTCTGGTATTTGTGGTATTTTACTGTGCTGTTGCTGCAGTAATGTGCCATTGATATTCACTAGGCATTTCTGATACATTCCAGGTGGAAATTGAGGGCCTCACCGGCAACATCAGTTTCACTGATGAAGGCAAGAGAAAAGACTATACCATCGACGTTGTGGAGATGACCTTCAACAGCGAGACGGTCAAGGTAAGTTATTTGTGTTCCTCGAGTACCTGTGCTGGAAGAGAAGTCAGAGGCCATCTGTAGTGTAGTCACATTATTCTTAATAGCCTCTGGCCTGACTATGCCCTTCCAATGGCTGTCGGAACACAGGGCAACGAGCTTACAACGAGTTTACAACGAGTTTACAACGAGTTTACGGTTAATCTTCAAAGGAATAATGTCACTGTTGAAAATATTTTTCCTTCCCTAGAGTTCAGTCGTTCATTGGTTGTGTTCGAAGTGTTTGTACCTTTGCTGAAAGGACAGTTATCTGTGTTTTCTTCGTTACCTTACCTTCTATCCAGCGCCGTTACCACATCGCTTGCTTAATTAATTACTTATTGGATTATGCCACTAATTCCAGAATCAGGAGACACTTTTCTCTTAGCTAATCGCAAGCACTTGCCAGAAGGAAAGTGAATGTAGGTTACACTTGTCTTGCTTATATCAACTTCTAAGTGTTGTACATTTGACCCACTTTGTCTTACTATTTAGTTGTCTTTAGTTGTCTTGGAAAAATGAATCTTACCGCACATCCTTGGAACTTCATCTATCACTTGTTTCTATATTGGTAACAGTCTGAAGAAGTGATGTCATTTAGAAAGAAAAATGAATTTTTTATATTTCTCATAGAAAATTAATTATTTCTTATTTAATTATAAATATAAATGATGATTGTATAATTCAGGATAACTCGCTAAAAATGTAATTATAGCAGTTACTTTCGTTGTTCAAGTCACTTAGAACTACAGATTTTTGTCTAAATTCTTGTTTACCCAAAGAAAGAGGCAGTCTAAGCAATCGTCAAATAACTCTGTTAAAGTAGAGGAAATAAGCAAGAAAATAATTACCTTATTTGTCTTCTTGAAGGCCTTTACGAAGGAAAGCATAAGTGCACTAAGTCACAGCACTTTGTGGTACGATATACCTTCAGACAGTTGGAGTCGTTTATACCAGCTGATTACAGCAGCTAGTTTAGTTAAAATACCACAGCTTGTTGTGACTGCATGTGAGAGAGACAGGTGACCAGTGTTTTCCCCGGCCAATGCCTGAAGGCGGGTTGGTTGAGACAGGACAGTCGTACAACCATGTGACAGTTTATAACACAGCTGAATAATTCAATTTGCAGTTGGGTCTCCATGTTTACGTTCGCGCAGTATGTTCCGTGCACTAATACAGAGTTATAATTCTGTCTCGTGAAAATTTAATATAAAAAGCACACTTGAAAAATGATACGTTTTAGTTTTTTTTTTTTTTGGGGGGGGGGAGGGGAGGGGGCACACTAGATGTTTCATCAGGGCTATTGAAAAAATTGGAAAATATACGCAGAAAACCATACACATCTCTAAGCTTTTAAAGTAGGAGCTGAGGCTCAACCTTTGACCTAAAACTATTGCTTTATATCGTTAGGTATCACCACATCCTGAAGGGGTAACAAAAAAAAAGAGAAAGAAAATTCTTTGCTCAACTATATTGTAGAAGGTAAGAGGTGGCTTGCCAGATCTGCAACACAAACAACGCAGCTTGAAGCTGCTTATTCCTGTTGCCATGGAAAGGGCCATTTTGTAGTAAGTCACATAAGCAAAACAAACATAGACTGCTTGAACACGCAAACACATACACATATTGGAATACGCAGCACCAGTATGAAATACACACCTGAGCAGGTGTATCAGTGTAGTGGTGAAAGTGCAGAGGTTTGCAACGAAACTTGCTCAGGAGCCAAGGGGTGTTTTATGAGGAAAAATTAAAGGAACTAAACCTGATATTAGAAAACAGGACTAGGGTCGATATGATGATGATATACGAAATACTAAGAGGTATTGGTATGGTGCTAAAGGACAGGTTTATCGAGAGATGGAAAGCAGATGCTCGAGGGCACAACCGGGAGTTGAAAATATAGATGAGTGACAAGGATATTAGGAAGTATTTCTTCAGCTTTTGATTGGTCAAGAAGTGTAACGAATGGACAGTGGAGTAGTAGAGGGAGGATTCATACATAGCTTTAAGAGGCACGATATGGCTCTCGATGCCAGGGGAGTGAAATCAGCAGTGGCCAGCGAAGAGACGGGCCAGGAGTTGAGACTTAGCCCCTGCAACCACATTTAGGTGAGAATACCAACACCACACACACACACACACACACACACACCACAACACACACACACACACACACACACACACACACGCTAACACACACACCGAATATAATCCTGGATAAGTAGTAGCTGATTCCAGTAATCTTGCTGCTGATTGGTCCAAAAATAATGAACTTAATATAAATCAACTTGTACAGCCATATAGTGACATACACCAGCTGCAGTGTCCATGTCAGTCTCTAATAATATATATATATATTATATATATATATATATATATATATATATATATATATATATATAAAAATATTCCAGTGACAGCACGAGAGTCAAACTAAAAGTCATTTCTTACCATTTAAATAAGATTTTTTTAATTAAAAATTAAATTAATGATTTCACCTATTTTCTGTCTTAGACTTTCCTTGGATAACTTTCTGGAAATGTTTCTATTAATAAAAAAATATTTGTAGTAAAGATGCAAAATGTGTTTGACTACAATTATGAATTTAAAAAAAAATACGAATTTAAAAAAAAAAATAACGTCCTGTGATCCCAAATGAATATTTAAATGATTAAATACTGCTGCACAAAATCATTTTTTTCAGCTCTGAACAGATTGAATGCGGTCCTTGATGCTAGCGAAGGGCTCTTGATCCGATAAATTGGCGCTACCTTCCCTTGGATTGAATCCAATTGTTTCTCGTTTCCAAGGAGGAGTATGACTCTTTCGAGTTTAGCTCTCCCCAGTGGTTTAGTTGGTAGCGCCATTAGCTCACATACTAAGGGTTCATGATTCGATTCCCGGCACGGTTGGAAACACTGGGCATGCTTCCTTACACCTACTGGCTCTCTTCACCTAACAGTAAGTAGGTAGCTGGGTGTTAGTAGGCTTTTGTGGGTGGCTTCCCAGGCAGTATTTGTTTGACTTAGATCTTGGCTCTGAAATTAGCTGAGATAAGACAAATCTTTGGTTTGAAATTAGTTGAGATAAGACAAATCTTTGCTTTGAAATTAGCTGAGATAAGACAAATCTTTGCTTTGAAATTAGCTGAGATAAGACAAATCTTTGCTTTGAAATTAAAGTAAGACAAATCTTTGCTTTGAAATTAGCTGAGATAAGACAAATCTTTGCTTTGAAATTAGCTGAGGTTAAAAAAAATTGCTTTGCAATTAGATGAAGTAAGACAAATCTTGGCTTTGCAAGAGCTAAGGCTGGATTACACCTCATACTATACAAAAATTCGCATAAAGAAGAAAAAAAACTTTTTCGTTGCAAAAAAAAAAAAAAAAAAAAAAAAAAAGTGTTCGGATTGAAGGGGTAAAATTTTATGTAAATATCAACACTGTGGCGCATCTGTTGTTGTTTTAAAGACTGAATGTTAAAATTATGTACATTTATTAAAGGTTAAATGAACGGAGAGTGAAATCTGATTTGGGGCGATTCGCTGCAACCTATTTTCTCTCTTTGTGTCGAGTTTGTTTTGTCGTTATGGCTGTTTTGTCGTTTTTTTTCGTTTTTTTTTTTCACGGGAGATTAAAAGAATTAACTGATAGTTTTTTTTTTTTTTTTTTTTTTTTTTTTTTTTTTTTTTTTTTTTACTTTTTTTTCTCCTTGTATACACCCCTGAAGGAAGGTTCCTTGATGCTGGTGAAGGGCTCTTGATCTGGGGAATTGAATCTGTGCTCCAGTTTCCTGAATTAAGCCTGAATACCTACCATACTCCCCCCCCCATCCAGACGATGTATAATCCCTAAGGGTTTAGCGCTCCCCCATGAAATAAAAAATTCATGTCTACATACACTGAAACGGAATAAATCCCAATAAAATACGTGATTGCAAATACGTATTTGGTATTTTTATATATACTTAAATATGTTTTGATTAATTTTGTTGTTTCTGTTTTGGTATTCTGTTCTTTTCCGTTTTGTTTTTGTTTATTAATATTGTTGGTGTAGGTTTACATAGGTAAGATTCCTCAGGAAACAGGACAGGTGTTTCCAGACGTGGGTCTTTGTCATACGATGACCCACAGCTGGAGCTTTTGGTCATCTGACCGAGGCCTTCCGCTGGCTTACCGGTCCACCCCCTTTTAAAAATTATGATCATAATTATAATCATTTAGCCATAACTTGCAGTGCTAATATGACGCATTTCAAAGACCTTTTTTCTTGTGTTATTGGCTGACCGCTACTAGGTAAACACGGCTTCAAGATCCATATCGTACCTCTTCTTAAAGCTGTGTGTGTGTGATCGCATACAGTATCATAATGCAAATTTGAGGTAGAAACATCATTGTAAGGCAGTATTTCTTGCATATTCTTTGTCAATTTGGTGTAAATATGCAATTATGGCTTCTTGTTCTGCCTGTTACTGATTCCTAAACATCTATTTTTCTCGTAATATTTTATAAACACATCCAGAGTATCTGTTGCTTTTATCTCCTGTTATCTTACAAAGATATTTCCTTATGTGGTTATGTCGCATATCATTTTTTTTTCAATTCACCTTCCAGTGTGCAGAAGAGCGAAGGATTAGAGAGCGGTGTAAGAGGTGGAAGAGAGGGTAATGAAGGTAAATGGCAGTGAGAGAGAGAGAGGGAGTAAGAGAGCGAGCAAGCATAGTGAAATTAAGAAAACGTCAAGGAGGTCGTCATGTGCTCTAGTGTGTGGAAGCAGCACGTCACCACCTCACAACCCACGCAAACTTGCGGGTTTTATACCAGCTGAAAGCAATCCCTGGGCGAGGCGCGCGCACACGTACACAGAGAGAGAGAGAGAGAGAGAGAGAGAGAGAGAGAGCTAGCTAGCTGAGGTAAGTAATAGCTGTTAGCTTATAAATAAAGGTAGGAACTCGAGAGAGAGAGAGAGAGAGAGAGAGAGAGAGAG